TCTAGTGTCTCATTATATTCTGTTAAAAGTCCTCTAAAAGGTTATTTTTTATAAGGCTTTGAAGTTAGGCCAAGTTGGGTAAAAAAAAATTCAAGTTCAATTAGGATTTCCTCATTAGACTACATGAGCTGTGGCTTACCTCCTCCAAAGTCGCAGGCTTGACCATTTAAATAATACAAATTGTAATTGCTCTAGGACTACTACAGTGCTTCAAATTTAACATAATATTTGACCAGCTTCCAAGCCAAACTAAATAAAATGGTAAACTTCAAAGTTGTAACACTTTCTCTTATCTTTCCAATGATATTAGAATCATCTCATTTGAAGTTCTGTAGAGAGAGGTATGGTGAAAATACTGAAATATATGTAGTGTAAGTATGCACCTTAAAATTGCTTTCCTTCCATTAAAAGTTTTCCTTTATTAAACACCTACAAAAGCACAACCAAATTAATAACAACCTACCTTAATCACATTATCCCCAAATTAAGCATAAAATTAACTAAGATTAGATTGACTCACCTAAATTAACTAATTTAAAATAATTTAAATAAAACCTATTAATTTCTATGTATTACTACAAGAACTAAGTTAAATTACTATCAAAATTAAGCCCAAATAACTCTATATGATAGAGTTATGAATAGTGCAAGGTAGAGAAGCTGTAATCAATTAGAGCTGCCTGTAATCGATTAGCCAAAATTTATCTTAGTTTTTGAATTTAAACACTAAAAGGCAAAATAACAGCTAGAAGTGCATCAAAGTTGTTTCTAACAACTAGAAACTATCTCTAATAGAAAAATCTGACTCCTCAAGTATAAAAAGAAGCTCCAATGGTCAAAAAAGGTAGATTTGAAGAGAGAAGAGCCATTTTAAGCAAAAAAAGCCAAATATCATTCACTAAAAATACTTGTTCTTCATTCCAAATTTAGAAAAAGTGTTTGAGCTTGATTGCAATCTATCCAAACTTGTAAAGGTACTTAGTTGTACTTTTTTTTCTTATCTTTCTTAAAAAATTAGAGTGTGAGAAATACTTTAAAGCTTGTTGTAAAGGATTAAAGCTTGGGTTAGAAGCTTCCCTTGTAAAAGCTTGGTGAAAGCTGTTAATTCCACCCCTCTAGTGAAGTTAGGTTGAAAATCTTTAATTGGGATATCAAAGTAATGGATGTAGGTCAAAGGGACCAAATCACTATAAATAGCTTTACATTGTCCACTTCTTTTTACCCTTATTTACTTGATGTTTTTCAACTACTAAAAGCTTTATATTCATTTTCTTCTACTTAGTTAAAAGCTCTATCTTTCAAAAAAGACCGAGCTTAAAATTTTAAGTGTTATTCATCCCACCTCTAGTACTCCATTGGGACCAACATTAGCCAGATGAGCCAGGTGCGGGATGAGGTGCTAGCAAGATTACATGTAGGGCTTGCACGTGACACCACTACACAGGCCATCATCCAATGTGCCAAGGAAGGCAAAACACGACGGCTTTGGCTTGATGGTGACTTGTTGATTGTCAAGGGGAACTCTGTCTACGTGCCAAGGTCAAATTGGCTACATAAGGAGATCCTGTAACAAGAACATGACTCCTTATGGGTGAGGCACCTTGGAACTAAGTGCATTGAGGTTTTAATAACGACATGCTACTAATAACCCAAATTGATCGAGGATGTTAAGGCTTTTGTGCATACATGCCTAGTCTACCAGTAGGATAAGGGCAAACAGCAACAACTAATAGGCCTACTAGAGCGTTTAAAGTTACTAAAAAGGCTATGGCAGTCTGTATCCTTGGATTTTATTACTAACCTTCCTACAATTAACAGTTTGGTGCTATTATGGCTGTGATGGATAAGTTTAGCAAGTAAGGAACCTTTGTGCTAGTGACTAAGCAATGCCCAACTGAGGAGGCAGCCTAAGCATTCATGGCACATATGGTGGAACTATGGGGTGTGCCCAAGATGGGAGATTCATGGGTAAGTTTTGGACAAAGCTATTCAAGCTCTTAGGTCCAAGCTCTACTTCTCCACTAGCCCACACCTTTAGACAAATGGCCAAACTATGTAAGTGATCCATTTACTTGTGACTTATTTGCGGCATTTCATCCACAACACCTAGACGAATTAGCTCAAGCTACTATATGTTGCCCAATTCAACTACAACCTATAGTAACAGGGATTCACAAGCAAAAGTACCTTCGAGGTAATGACAAGGCAATAGCCATGACCCCTAGTGCCCTGGTCAGCAACTATATGGGACCAACGCCAGCGGTATTCCACTATGCTAAAAATGGCATAAGTAGTGGGACTTTGCCAAAGTGAGCCTTAAGTGTGCCATCAGAAAGTATAAAGATAGACAGATCGGTAAAGGTGGGTGTAAGCTTCAATGTGGAAGACTTTGTGCTGGTCAAGCTTTATCTGATCCTTCACAACCAAAAGCTACACAAGGGTCTGACTAGGAGGTATGAAGGGCTTTTTCATTTTATGGAAAAGGTTGGTCACATAACTTACAAATTGGAATTGTCGCTTGAGCCTAAGATCCACCTGGTCTTCCATGTCAATATGCTCAAACTCTACCATGCAAACCTTGTTGACCTAAGTAGAGGCTAAAACTATAGACACCCCAAGAGGCAGAAAGCATCTTATGATCAAAAGGTCGAGGAGATACTAGTTGAGAGGGTCTTAAGGAGGAGGAACCATTGATCGTAAAACCAAGACCTAGTCCAATAAGAAGGGCATCCAGCTAGTGAGACTAGCTAGGAGCCAACCCAAGCACTATATGCAGTTCAAGGACTTGGTGGAGTAGTTCCATGTTCAACAGCCAATCAAGGCATTGCCAGCATAGTTGGGAGAAAATGTCACACCCATTTTGTGCTTAGATGCGAGCTAGCTCGATGATGGGTGGACCAAGCTCAAGAGTAGGGCAGCTAGCTCGATGGTGAATGAGAAATAGGGCCGACACTTAGAATTTCTACCAAGGTAATGCACAGGAAGCTTAGACACCCAAGTAGTGCATAAGAAGCTTAGGCGTGGGATTGACACATAGACAGGGCATGGGACATAAAAGTAGACTAACATGCAATTTGTGGCACACGAGAACAGACTAACATGCAGCTAAGGTGCATAAAAAGCTAGTTAGCCTGCAAGGTTCATAGGAAACACTAGCTAGCTTATGCCTCGTAGGGTAACCATTGTTAGCAGTTAGAGAGGAGCCTAGGGGCACGTCAGACTGGCTTGCCTAGGTTCAAATTACTACCTAACTATTAGGCACTACCTTGTAACAACTCCAAAGGGTCCTTGGCCTATATAAACCTGTTGAGCCCTTTCATTTGTAACTAATGACGTATGTACTAAGCTTATATGCAATAAAAGTCTCTTTTTGTTCATAGAGCTTTTTTTATTGTTGTTGTGCTTACCATAAACAATCCTAACTTAGTCCAACGAGTGGACTGCTAGTCTTTATAAGAGCCTTTGAGTAAGGCAAAGGCTAGGCTGTACAAGTTAAAAGAAACCTCGTGACATATAGCCTAGTCTTATGGGTGCCTTACACATATGCCAACCCTCGCTTGTTGTTGGCTCAATGGTTACTTGGGCTGGACTCGTGTGCCACTAGAGAGAGAAAGTGAGACTACAAAGTTAGGTTCTAGTGTTTTTTTTTTTTCATTTTAAAACTTAAGGTGTGGACAATATTGTTTTGAAGGAAAAAAAAAAAGAAGAAAAAGGAGCGCCTAGCTAGATCCAACCCAACATGGTCCACCAAAAGCCCATCAATCCAACACCTAGTCGATGTGTACTTTTGAACTTTCTCATTTTTTTAACTTTGTTTTATTTTTTTTATACTTTATTATTTATTTAGCATTTTAAGTTCTTTAATGTTAAATAAATTATTATTTGGTTAATTCCCTATGATGAAATTTTATTTGAAGTATGTAGAGGCATATTTCAAATTAATTGTCCTAGGGTGAGGAGTAATTTAGGGCCTCACCAAAGTGGTTGGGGAGTTTCCTAAAATGTTGTTCTAATATTAAATTAATTCAAATAATCATTAAAAATAAAATGTTAGGGTTAGGTTTGAATAAGATGGGTGAAAATAAATAAACAAGAATAATAACAAGCAAAATAATAATAATAATAATAATTAATTAATTTGATTAATTTGAAATAACTTTGGTGAATTAATTTGATTAATTAGAATCACTGCAATTTTACGGTCATTTAATCAATAAACACTTTGATAAATTAATATTTGTTTTAAAAAGTTGAAAAAACACAATTAGTACTTTGTAACATGGGGATTTGTTACTAAGAATTAAACACATTTTCAGTGATTTGTATGAACACAATGATGAGAGATATTGGAGATTATAATTAATTGTTGACATATTATTTAAATTGACAATCCATTTCTTTTATAATCCATCTAATCTACTTATTGTTTCAAATAATTTTGAAAAGTCAATAATTTACAATAATTATCTATTAGGTAAGTAAAAAAGGTCCTAAAGAAGCTTCCTTCTTTAGCCACGTGGAGGTCATACAAGAAAAGAAAAAAAGTATTGAAGGAAGAAAAAGACAGGTAAAAAGAGAAAGAAAAAAAACAGGTAAAAAAGAGGCCAGTGGTTTTATTAATTTTATCACTATTATAATATTATTCAATTTAAAATCATTTCTTATATAAAATATTTTAAAAAATTGATGCAAGTGCACACCACTTTGCTGTTTTGTAAATGTAATAATTGGGCTAAACAGGTCCCAATTACACCTTTACAAGCCGAAGCAAAGAGTTGGTGCGAGCTAGTAGACTCAAACCCAACCGGGCTGTAAACCATGATCTGGTAGAGGACTGTGACCCTCAAAGGTGGGCGTGGGAAAATCAATGAAGAACACATGATTGACTAATAATCGTACTATAAAATGCAATCACGTCATTAGCTGATGGGTGCACGTATATCCATGCGGGTCCCACCCCTGCAACGCACTTTTAAACCTTTTAGCGCCTTTTGACTCTCCCTCTTTCGTCTCACTCAGCTATTTTTTACGTCCCACCCTAAACCCAAACACGTCCTCTCTCTCTCTCTCTCTCTCTCTCTGCTGCCGTGCTACGACCTCACAGTCTGGTGCTCCACACACCACAAAACCTATAAAGCCCGACAGCCGAAAACATAAATGACTTCTCTTTCTCACACTTTCTAAACATAGAAAAATTAGGGTTCCGCTTTTTTTTTTAAAAAAAAAATTAATGGACTCATCTGCACCGGTTCCTTCGCTGCATTTGGCCATGGCGGCGTTAGTCGGAGCTTCATTAATGGCCATATCCGCTTTTTATATCCACAAACGCAGCGTCGACCACGTCATCGATCGACTCATAGAGATCCGCCGCGTTAGGCGGCCTAGAAGTCGCGTCATCTCCGATGAAGAAGAAGAGAACGAAGAAGAAGTGGATTACGAAGAAGAAGAAGAAGAAGTGGAGGAGGGTGAGAAAGGGGGCTCTCTCGAGCATAAAACGAGCGTGTCGAAATCTTTCGATGAGAAAATGGAGATGTTGAGGAGTTATCGGATTTCCAGTTCGATGCCCAACGTGGTTTTGCGTAACGAGTGGTTCGAGGAAGATGCTAAGTTTGACCAGGTGGTGAGGGAAAGAGCTCAGACTTGCTCTGCTTCGTCGCTTGACAAGCATAACTTTATTCCTTCCGGTCTTCCTCCACTTCAAACATCTCGGCGAGGTAATATGTTTATTTTAGGCCTGTAATTTCTTTTCGTTGTTGCTATAACTATCGAAACAATGTTTTTGTGAAAATCGTGATAGAAATGTGGATTGATATGGAATTTATGGCATAGTTTAATGTGACATTGCCCGAAAGGAGTTTAGAATAGTTTGTTAGCCCTGAGGTAGGTAGAAAATTACGGTTAATAGGTAAAGATTGGTTTCTCTAAAGTTGCTGATAGTTGTAAACAAATAAGTGCAAAGGAAAATGTGAAAAATCGTTTCTACTAGGATTGTTTTATCTAAGTTAAGTATGCATTTTGTTATTAAAATAATACCTTCTTTTTTCATTTTTAATTCTTTAAAAACCCTCTGTTTTCTTTTATATTCAACCGTCTTTTTGTTCTTGCTTCTGTGAGCAAAATTAAAGTAAATAACAAAAGTAAATGCTAAATGTACCTTTTGGAATCAGTTCTTGGCTTGTTGTATATTGAGAATTTTGGGAAAGCGGATCTGCTTCTGAACTAATCAAGAAGGCATTTGGAAATTTGCTGAATCCAGTTGCTTTATATTTCACATAAAGTAAGGTTTTCCTTTGCATTGTGCAGGAGAAAGTCAGACTTTTAGTCGTGGTGTTTCCACTACAAGGTTGGCTACCTATGGTCGGCTAATGACTCCAAGGTCCCCTGGTGGCAATGCTTTTGAAAGTGCTGGGGATTCTGACGAGGAAGGAACAGAGCCTGCAGATGAGGATGACATTCTTTGTGGCGATCAAAATATCGATGGTTCTGGTGATTTGTTAAATGTTAGTGCCCCGTTTGCAATTTCTCTGTATGCAGATATCATTGCTTATAATACACAATGTCTTTCAAAAGTAGTTTCAAGAACATTTTTGAGCACATAAGATTTGCTGTGTTGTTAGGTTTAAGGATTTATCATTTGTAACTAAGGCTAATTTTTGACTTACTAATTATTCATCAAAACAAAGGATATTTTGTTCATCCATTATTGGTGAATTTATACAGGATGTTGCTACAAAAGTTCAAAATTTATTTTCTGTTCCATTTAGAGGTGAGGGTGTGAACTGCGTTCAAGACAAGAATCATAAAGCTACTGAAAATGAAGCAAAATCTTGTGTTGATCTAAATGGAAATGGAAAAGTGGATTCAGCATTAGTGTGCATATTGAAGAGTGATCCTGTTTTTGACAAGACAAGTTTGCCTCTCAGAAGCACGTTTCTTGGTATTATAAGTTCTCTAAATCTGAATAGTTTTACCTTGTGACTTAGTTGGAATTATTGCTATCAGATTTAACAAATTGGACTTTATAATTGCCTTATTTGTGAATGATTGTCTTGGTTGTATTAACACAATTTACCTCTCTATTGATAGTGATTAGTTAAAATTGACATGCCAAGTCAGAAATGGTCTTCACTGCTTACTTAATATGCTTGAACTTAAAGCTACAAAATTGATTTTTGTTCTGCTTCTTCCATCTGTATTTAGACTCAACAAATGTAGAAGAGGAAGAAGTAAGGAAAATGACACGGGAGTGTTTGGAATTGCGAGACAATTATGTTTACAGGGAAGGGATTGCTCCATGGAAAAAGGAACCTGTGACAGAACCCAGCACTCCAAAAGCACGAAGTCATCCATTTCACTTTGAACCTGTTGAAAAAACAGCGGTGAGGTTCTTTTTGCTTACTAATATTGTTTGGAAACAAAATTCAAATGTTTATTGTTGAACTTTTTTAAGAACCAGTGATCAAATATTTTTTGTATTTGAATCTGTTTTATTCCTTTGTATGCAGCATCGTTTTAGGATGGAAGATGGAGTTATACGTGTTTATGCAAGTGAAACTGGTACATACCATTGTGGATTTTATATTGCTCTGTCAATACTGAATCAGTTTTGTTCAGTTAATTGTTATTCTAGAATCTGACAAGGTTATAGTGAATCAGTTTTGCTGTGCCAAAGATTTTGTAGCCTGGTAATATGATCCATGTGTAACATGTCTAGGTCCTCTCTAGCTTAATCTATTGGAAATGGAGGCATCAGTTTACTTCAGCTATTGTTGTATAACTTGATCCATGTGTTTATATTTCTTCGGTTATTCACTTTGATGGGCCCTAGCACAGTAAATTTTTTTATGAATATTCATTCAGACACTGTCGAGCTTTTTCCTGTCCCAAGTTCAACAACATTTTTCACTGATATGCATCATCTCCTAAAAGTCATGTCAATTGGAAATGTTCGCTCTGCTTGCCATCACCGACTAAGATTTCTTGAGGAGGTAGTGTTTTTAAACTCTTTTGAATTGCGTTTTCTTATTCACTTTGGCTTGTTTCTATAACTTACAATTGGACGCTACACAGAAGTTCCGCCTTCATCTATTAGTAAATGCAGACGGGGAGTTTTTGGCTCAGAAGAGTGCACCCCACCGTGATTTCTACAATATCCGGAAGGTTGATACACATGTGCATCATTCTGCTTGCATGAACCAGAAACATCTGCTACGCTTCATCAAATCAAAACTAAGAAAAGAACCTGATGAGGTTGTTTTGAATTCCCTTTGATTTGTTCATTTTGGCATCTTGTTTTTTGTTTGTAAGCATATAAAATGACTCATAGTAAGCACAATCCTACTTGAAATTGTGCAGGTTGTTATATTTAGGGATGGAAAGTATATGACGTTGAAAGAGGTTTTTGAGAGTTTGGATTTGACTGGGTATGCAAAACCTTGGTTCCATTCTCTTCTGTGTTTCAGAATTAATACTTTGATTTATTTTTAACATATGCTTCATCTATCTTTTACTTCAGATATGATCTCAACGTTGATTTGTTGGATGTCCATGCTGATAAGAGCACCTTTCATCGCTTTGACAAATTCAATCTTAAATATAATCCTTGTGGGCAAAGCAGACTCAGAGAGATCTTCTTAAAGCAGGACAATCTTATCCAAGGTTTGACACATGATGTCATCAATGCAAACTTAAATTTGTTCAGTGTCTGGTCAGACATAGCTTCTTTTTCTTTTATTTATTTCTAAAATGGTCACTTCTTTTTGATAAATGTTCTCCATTTACTTTTCACTTTGTATTTGAATTCATATTGGTATCAAGGTCATAACTGTATTTTATTAAAACAATTTAATTGAATATCACAGGGCGTTTTTTGGCAGAAGTAACAAAGCAAGTTCTATCTGACCTTGAAGCAAGCAAATACCAGGTTGATGTTGATAGATAAATTAAGCCCAGAGAAGTGATAATTCTGCTTTAATCAATTACTTGTTTACCCTTCATTAATTAAACACATACTGTCAAACATATTTCTTTTAGTCACATGATCATGTATGTTCCCTTCCAAAGTTTTACTTTCTTTAAATGTCTGCATGCTATTTGAAGTTTAGTTCCTTGATTTAATTTTGTTTCTCTTGTTTCTGTGGGATGGCCTTAGGCATTTGGTCTAGTTAGTATGTTAAATTATGATATGTAACTTTGATATTGTTATGCAATGTGAGTTTTACCTCGTAAACCTCATGCAGCATCAGGGTAAAGCTCAACCTTAATGATTTGATTACTGACTGAATTTATTTTTCTGCAGCCTAGGAATTGTTGTCATTATTTCTACTAATTGACCTTAAAGGTTCAAATGCCTTTCTTTGACTGCCATATTCACCAATTCCTTTATCTAAATAATATATCATTTCTTTTCCAGATGGCAGAGTACAGGGTGTCCATATATGGAAGGAAACAAAGTGAATGGGATCAGTTAGCAAGTTGGTTTATTAACAATGAAATTTATAGTGAAAATGCCGTTTGGTTAATCCAGGTAGAATGCCAATAGCCCAATACTATTTCTTCTTCTATCTAGCAAGCTCTCCCACTGTCTAACCATCGCATATAGATGCTTGTTCTTTTTCATATCTTGTTTGAATATGCTTATTTAAGCATTACTTAACTTATGGTTATCCTGGATCATGTCTTATTAATTAGTCAAAATGATCGTATCTGCTTGAACATGTTTTAGAAGTATTTCAGGGTATGGACTAGCTATTTAAATGTTAGAAATTAAACCTAAGATTAGTTGGTGTGGCATCATGTCCATATTTAGCATCATCTTTCTGCTGGTGTTCTCTATCTCTCTCTCTGTGTATTTTTCTTAAGACAAAGGTAACTCGCTTCTCATGATTTTGACTTAATTGTGCAGCTACCCCGATTGTATAATGTGTACAAGCAAATGGGAATTGTAAAATCTTTTCAGAATATTCTGGACAATGTGTTCATTCCGCTATTTGAAGTGACAGTTGATCCAAATTCTCATCCTCAACTTCATGTGTTCCTAATGATGGTGAGCTTTATGTTCTGTCAAGTACATACCATGCATTCAACAGAGATTTCATGGTTCTTATAGAAATAGTAAATACAGTTCAAGCCCGCATCTTTATTGAAGTGACCTGCATTACAACTAGTTGAGTAAATGGTCCACTTTAGCCACCACTTTTATGTCATAATTATTTTAATTATTCGAAGCTATGTTGAGCCATAGTGTTTGGTCAATTTTTTGGGTCACCACTGCTTGTTGAACATGGGCGCACCACACAATTTTAGATGATTTTGTTTATTCAGCCACAATTTGTTTACTCAAGTTTTTTATAAATGCATTATTTGCAAAACTTTCCTCAATTGTCATCAGTAATCAGTTTGTTAGGAAAAGTATGAAATCAGATTTTACTAGAGAATGCCACAATGAAAATGCTAATATGTCTTATGGTACAGGTTGTTGGTTTTGATTTAGTTGATGATGAAAGTAAACCAGAGCGGCGTCCTACTAAGCACATGCCAAAGCCTGCTGAATGGACCAATGAATTTAATCCTGCATATTCTTATTATGCGTATTACTTCTATGCAAACCTGTATACTCTCAACAAGGTTAGTATCTGGTTCTAATTTTATCATGTCATACCTATGTTACATACCTGTCTTGCTTTTTATACAGCAATAGGGTTTTGCAGTTATTGGTGTTAGGGGAAAGATATAGACAGCTTTTATATTTCTATGTAATTATCAATGCCTGATTCAGTAATATACGGAACAAAATTAGGTAATGAAAGTAATTGTTGAACTCAATCTTGCCGAATATTAAAGTTCATCAAAATGAGGATATGGGGGAGTGCAACATGCTGTCATCCCAAAATACTTAAACCAAAAGGGGTTTGAGGTGGTGGGGGCAGAGTGGGTGGCTTAAAGAGGAATATTATTTTATCCTGGATCATATTGTTACTAATATTATGTCAAATCATTTCATAAATTTTTTTAACTTTAGAAAAGAATCATTTCATAATTTTTCTGTTTTTCTTTTCCAGCTTCGTGAGTCAAAAGGATTGCCAACGATAAAACTTCGACCTCACTGCGGGGAGGTTTAAGTCAATTTCTTTGTCTCTGTTTCAATCTTTCTATAGTTATTCAAATGCTTATTATATTTGCAAAATTATGCAGGCTGGCGATATTGACCACTTAGCTGCTGCTTTCCTTCTGTGCAACAATATATCTCATGGGATTAATCTGAGGAAATCCCCTGTTTTGCAGTACTTGTATTACCTTGCTCAGGTTGGTTTGCAGGATTTACCATAACCATGTTCCTTTCAAGAATTTAGTTTCTGTTCTATGTTGTAAAATAGAGTGTGAAGCATGGCATGTGCATGGTTAGAGTTTCAGTTGTAGGATGCACTTATACAAGAACCAATCAGCAGGGATGTTATCACTGTAGATCTCGTTCCATTCTGTTGGAATATGTAGAATATGCATCTACAGTTCCTGTATTATTCAGTGTAAAAAGTTTATGAGTGACTTTGGAATGGCATTTTACCTTTAAAACGGTAAAATTGTTTCAATTACAAGGTTGATCACCTTGCTTTTTTTTATCAGATTGGATTGGCTATGTCTCCTCTGAGCAATAATTCCCTTTTCCTGGACTATCATCGCAACCCATTTCCTGCTTTCTTTCAGCGTGGGCTAAATGTCTCACTTTCATCTGATGATCCATTGCAAATTCACTTGACGAAGGAACCTCTTGTGGAAGAGTACAGTGTTGCAGCACAGGTTTGTTACTTGCATTTGTCATCTTTCATGAAAATATATCTGTAAGAATTAGAAAACCAAAAAGCCTGTTTTCTTTTTCTTCTTTTTCAAATGTTCCTGAAGATATCTTAATGTCAAAGGTAGACGTTCATCCAACTTATCTACCTTTCCCTGCACCATTAAAACCCTCCTACAGGAACAAGTAAACGAAAGGCATATTGATAAGACAAGCCCTTGTTATATCAAAATTCTTACTAAAGTCTCTAATTTTCTATTTGTATCAATTGAGCTCTCAACTTATATTAAAACAGAACTACTAAACCAGAATTGAAGAGAGAAAGAGGAAAGGGAAAGGGTGAGATTGAGGAAAGAGTGAAGGCCATGGTCCTAAATCCAGCTGTCAGTTTTCTTATATCAAGATTTTCTCCATCTCCAAATCAAAACATCCAAGAAACAAGATAACATGATCCAGATTTTAATCCTTAATTTCTATCAAAAGGCAGAGAAGGACCCAAATACCCAAAGCTAAGTAAATTTTATTTATTTGATAACTGATTGCCATGTCATCTACTTTTACACACGTGTATGATGCCATCTAATTTTTACCTCGTTCATCCAAGGAAGTTGAGGGTTCAGTTGATGTAAATAAAAGAGTAAGAGCTTATGTGAGGATTTTGGTATAATTCACGCACTTATTTTATCATTATGTCTAAAGGAAAAGACACGTAGTAAGGTGTGTAAAGATAATGCATGATCTGTGTAGTCATTATAAATCAGTACTTTGCAGGTTTGGAAGCTCAGTGCTTGTGACTTATGTGAGATTGTGAGAAATTCTGTATACCAGTCTGGATTTTCACATATGGCAAAGGTGAGGCCTCCATAACTCTTATTTTTCAGCTTTTCTGAGCCATTTAAATTTTCTTTTGAAGTATGGAAACCACTTGCTGAATTCACACCTTTCAAGTACAAGCACCAAGCAAAATTTCCCATTCTGTCTTTTTACATGAACATTTCCCTCCTATAGGGGTATAATCCAAGTTAAAGCTTTATTCCCCATTTGAGGTCTAATTTCATGTAAGCTGCAGATATTAACAGACAAAAGGAAATAGAACTAAAATGTGCTTCTCTCATATGTCATTTTCTGCTTATAGGCAGATGGGGGTTAAATTGTTTTGCTTTGTAAGGACCTGTCAATATGTAGACCAAATAAATGATGAAAGGCAACAATTTTAATATCTTAATGAATTGTACCTATTTAGGGTAACTTACATTGAAGATTAAAGAATGAAAAGATGAAAGAGTTGCTTACATTTTAAATAACAGGTATAGACTCAATTTGTTTTTTCTTCAACTCTTGTATCATCAACTTCATTGGCATGATGTTTGTTAAGTTACATCCATATTAAACAGGACCAGATGGCCAATAGGGATATTATATAACCTGTGATTGCACTCAAGTTTGTGTATGGTTGACAACAGGCCTTGAACAAACCCTTCTGAGTGACCAAGCCTTTTGTAAAACCTTCTTAAAATTTTATCTACTCATTCAAAATAGATAAAAAAGAATTTTGAAAATTGGGGTTGCTTGAGAAGCTAAATTTTTTTGTTCTATATTCTGGGGAAGCTCATAATGTGGATTTGAAAAATGACTGGGGTAGCGTTTTCAGACATTGACCGACTTCCTTTAATGGTGTTCTTGGTAATCATGACAGCTTTTGATCCTTTTTGACCCTTCTCAGTTCTTACTATCTCTCTTTGCATAGTAAATCTGTGAAAGGAGCCCAGGGTAAAAATTTCATTTTGTGCATATCATTGCTTTTTGATCTTTCCTGCAGTTGCATTGGCTTGGTAACAAATATTTCCTGCGAGGCCCAGAAGGGAATGACATTCACAAGACCAATGTTCCAAGTATGAGGATTGCATTTCGATATGAGGTAAATATACTCTATACTTTTAGTAAACTTATAGTGAAAAATAAGAGTGCATCTTGTGGTGGCTAATGATTTAGAACTGGCAGACATGGAAAGAGGAGATGCAATATGTTTACTCAGGAAGAGCAAGAATACCAGAAGAAATAGACCCTGCAATGTAATTGAATGTCAACTATGAAGCAAAATTTGATTAGGGTCGTGCTGAGTTCGGATTATGTCAAGATTCCTAGACAAATGAGTTCATATCATCACTTTAATTGAAGCTGGATATGAGAAGAATCTTTGAACCGTGTTGAGGTTCCTGCTTTTGGCTGAGTAGAATTGGGGGGAATTGGTAAATGCTTGCAAATTGCAAAGCATTCTTGCTAACAAATAAGCAAGCAAGAATAGTTTATACTAAGATATTAGTGAAGGAGCAAGTTGTACGACTCATTGTTCTGGCTTGTAGTTATTCAGTGAGACGACTTCTAGAGTCAGTTTTATACAAACTGCGCAACAGGTGAATGAAGTCACTGGCATCCATAGCATGAGTGATCAACCTTTTTATCTCAATTGTGATTTACATCAAATTGAGCTCATATTGAAGAAAGTAAGATACTTAAGACATTTCATAATTTTAATTTCTTTCATGCAATATCTTGTCTAAATGTTTTTTTATTTCTTCATGAATAATTTTTGTTCTTACAAAAATTAGATTGATAGTTGTATTTTGTAAAATTATCAAAAGACTCTGAAATTGAAAAAATAATTAATTAATTAATTTACATTTAAAAAATAGTTTTATAATTTTAGTAAAACAAATTTAACAGTACATAAAAAAATTAAAAGAATATTGTAGCTGTTTTATTTTTTCTACTCATACATTATTTAGAAGTCAATAGATATAAATTCAAATGAAAAATGAAATGGTATTCGAGCATTCGGGGAATGATTTCTGCTTAAAAAGAGATGTTGAAAGAGTTCAAAAAAAAGAAAAGAAAAAAGGGTAAAAGAAGCGGAAGTGTAGACATCTACCCACACAGGCAGAGCAGGAAAAGGGACATCAGCTCGGCTGCGGCTTTTGCGCTCCCTCTCTCCCCTTATTAACGCTACTCTCATTTTCAAGTCTCTCAACTAATAAAGCAAAACCCCAACCCAAAAACCCACAATCAACAACCTTTCACTTCCTCCCTCCCTTTCTTTCCAAACTTCCCCATCCCGCCGCTCCCTTTCCCAAACACCCTCGTTCCCCATCGCCACCACCCCGGTGGTGCTCTCTCGTAACTCCGATCACCCACCACTTCGAACACCATCAATTCCTCAAATGGCGGCCTCCGCAGCAGCAACTGCTTCCTCCGACGCGACAGCCACTACTTCTTCAGACGGCCCCGTTCTTAACCACATAAGCAAGCGCCTCCGTGCCCTACGCAAGAAATACAACCGCATCCTCCAGATGGAAGAATCCGTCTCCCAAGGCAAACCCTTAAACAAAGAACAAGAGGAAGTCCTCCGTTCCAAACCCGCTGTCTCCGCCCTTATCGATGAACTCGAGAAGCTTCGCCAGCCTCTCTCTTCCGCCGTCTCCGAAGAAATCTCACTCGCCTTACAGCGTCAAACCATTTTACCGGACGAGACAGCCTCAGAAGCCCAACAGGACGAGACTGAAGTTCAAGAGCAACAGCCCAATGAGCCCGATCATGCGGTTGAGGATCTCCTCAATCTGCTCTATTTCGGGTCGATGTTCGATGTGAAGTCTCAGAATGATTTTACTTCCACCATGTTGACTAGGACTCACGAGAGAGGCTGTTGCTTGACTTACGATTATGTGACCGATGACGCTACCGATCTGCTTAGCGAGAAAGATTTGGATTTGATTTCGATGCTGAGTGGACTGTTGACCTGTCGACCTGCTGATTCAAGTTTGTCTCACAAGAATGCTTTGCACCGCTGCCTACACCATGCTAAACTATGGCTTTCTAACTCCGACCAGCCCATTGAACCCAATGCCGACGTTTCCTGTAATAATTCACTGTTTTCATTTCGTGGGGTTTTCATAACTACTATTTTTTGTTAGATTTCTGGTTTTCTGACTTGGTAGGTTTTTTGTTGCAGATGCTGGGTTGAGAGAGAGACTTAACAAGATTATGGCTTTGGATTATTTTACAACCACACCGGAGATGAAGGCTCCTGTTGAAGTGGCGGCTGTTGCTGCTGGAACTTATACCACTTTCCAGGTTCCAGTGCACGGTGTGCCCATCTCTGTGCCTGTTCAGGTGGAAGGTACAGTGGAGCAGTACCAGCAGAAGGTATTAGCTTTGTTTTACTTTTAAGAAAGGAAGTGTGAGGTTTGGTTATTGGATTTTACTTTGCATTTTATTTCTTGATATATGTTTGATATAAAAATTTCTGGCTGCCCTGTTTCTCTACTTTTATCATGGCTGAAATGATTGCTAATTTTTTTTGTTTGATGCAATGCCCTGAGCTGTTCCTTTTCGGCCATATTGCGGCTATAGAGAGGGGGAAAACGAAACAAGAGAATTTCAAAGTTTCTTTTCATAAGTTAAATGAAAACTGGAATTGGAGAAACAAATTTTTACATGTCAGTCTAATTATGTGAGCAATCTCAATAACTTCATTTGTTATTTCTGTTTGTTGTTAAGGTTAATACTTTGGCCTGAGAGAGACTAAGAAGATTTAACTGCACGTTTCAGAGTAACAGCACCTTGCCTTGTAGGATTTTGTAATGGTCTATTTGTTGTATCTATTTGTTGTTCTCTCAATTTTATTCTGTCCCTACATCTCTAGCTTGCAAATAGAATTGGACTGTCTTTCTATATTTAAATTGTAGATGTGCAAAAAGTGGAAATTGACTGCAAACTTTTTATTAGACTTAACCAGGACTTCAGAAAGAAAATCTTGTACCTGTGCGCAATAGCAGATACAACTGTTGAAACAGTGAATGATCATGTTTGCTAGATCTATATCATTATGTATTGGAGAATATTATTGGTGTTGTCTGAGGCTATAGATCATTTGTACTTTCTAGGAGAAGGAAAATATTTTTTATTTGCAGCTGTTGCAAGACCATTGGGACATCAACATTATCAAACTCTATTAAGTATTTTCTTCATATGCATTGGAGAGGAGCACAAATAAGAATTTCTAGCTATGGTAACAAATCCACCTCATGTAATGTCCTCATTTTTGTATTGTTAAGGATGAAACTGGTTGTAAGATAAATATGAACTATTTGGAGACTAAGATGCAGGTTTAATTAAAATCAAATACATAGGAAATTATGGGCAAAATAGGATTTTACAAGGGTTGGTATGGAAGACTGAATGAATGATTTAAAATTCTTGTAAGGTGTATCTACTTGTTAGTCATGTATTTTTAGAGCTCTATTGATGGTAACTCTTGATCAAAGGCCTGATGTATAATTGGTTCACATTAGGATAGCATTATAAGGAAGGTCTTCTATTTATTGGGATGATTAGTCTGGTTTTTGAGTTCTTAGTCCTGTGGTTGAGTTAGATGGGATAAACATATAAGCTGCTTCTAAACATTTTATCTAGTTTCCTTGGATGTGATGCCTATGATTGAGCAACTTAAGAGCAGGGCAAAGCATAATTGCTAAAAACATCCCTCCAAACAGTTTTTTCTTAGTTGAAAGTATTGACATAAATATCGAGAAGATTCCAGAATTCAACTTCCTACTTCCAAAGTTGACTTTGAACCAGTCTAAAGTATAGGTGAAAGCTTACACTCAGAAGCTAGGATAATAAGAAGGGTTTCCTACTCGTGGGGATGTTTCAAGGCTGATTAATCATTGGAATTTGACTACATAAAAATGCTTCTGAGAACTAATGTTGTCTTGCTAGTTTTCCATTCACTTCTTCACACCTTTGCATATGTCCTATTTGGGTGTTGACAGAGGTTGCTCCCAACTCCCTTTTGTTTGTTTGCTATCTTAGATCATATATGTGTTGCATTCTGAAAATTGATATTCTAGCATAAAGCCTTCAGTCTTTTTAGGCTTCTCTGTTCTACTATATATTTAGGTATTTGTAGCGGTAATGACATATCTTAGTTGGGTTTACTTTAGTTGTTGGTGGCTGTGGCTAAGTCCAAGTTATTTAAAGGTTGAGTTCTACAATAAATATTCAAGTTGCTAGTTAATTGGCACAAAAGCATTCTTGCTCATTCATGTCATCTAATTTTCTATGCTAATGTATCCCTTTTCTCTGTGGAGCTTAACCCTGTAGTGAGTTGTACTCCTTTCATGTATACTTCCAGGAGAAATGGGATGCTTGGTTATCTTACTTTGCAATTTATTTATTCCCTGCAGTTGATTGTTGGACTCGGCAGCATACTTGCTTGAATCAGTTCCTGTAATTTCTCCTTTATTTCAAATGCTTTTAATTTCTGTTGCTTCCTTATGATTTTTTTCATAGCAATCACCTTAGAACAGTTTTCCAAGAGGCATGTTGTGCTTTTGGTAGCTCTAGGGTAAAATTCGGTGCTAAGCAAGCACATTTGATGTTTCATTAGATATATAAATTTGGGAGATATTTAGAATAATTTGGCAAAGCTCTTGAGCATCTGGCTCATTGGATGGTGCATGAGCAGGGTTCTAATGCCCCCTTTTCCAAAAAAAAGAAAACAACAAAGAATAATTTGTCAAAGGACAAGGTTAGTTTACGATTTCTTAGAAAAAGTAGTACTGATATACAAATTTGAATTCAATAGTTGCAAATTCAGAAGCTGATGCTGAAAGAAAAGATGGGCTATACTTTGGAAAGGCAGTTTATTTGGCAGAGGAACATGAAGGGCTAAGAAATGGTGACATGGCTTCATTTCAAATATTACAAGGTGAAAGTGGAAGATTATAAATAGCGGGTTGGGTTGTGTAGTATGGGTTGTGCCTTGGCTCGCTTAAGGATAGTGTAATTAAACATGAAACTTAAGCTAGAACGCTCTTAGGGAATGAAGTTGTTGTGAGGTAATTCATAAAGAAGCAGAGGGTTGTCTTAAGTTTTGCTTTTAATTTGTTGCAGGAAGCTGGGAGGAATTAGAAATGTAGTCTAATTGAGAATTTTGTGTGTTGTTTTGGAACATGTTTGGATTAATTTTTATGTTTGATGACCTGTATGTGGTGTTTCACAATTCTTCAGATTCAAGCCAATTATAGTTGTCTTGAGAATAAAAGATCTCATGTTAGTTGCTTCTCTCTGCCTTGGTGCTCCTAGGCTTTGTTGGAACTTGTGTTGATTCTTACAGATTATTATGTGGTGGTGAAGCAGGAATGAATTGATAGGTTGGAATTGGATGACTTGATCGCGGTGTTTCTTAGTTTTCCTTTCTCTAAACCCAACTTTGGACTTAATTTCACTTTGTTTTATGCTGCTTCATTTTTTTAGGTCACAGTGTTTGGTGTTTCTGATGGGTGTTATTTTGGTTTGGCATAAGTAGACATGTTTAAATTTCATTTGGAGCTGCCTTTCCCCTGTTAGTTTTAATTTTCCAAATGGGGATTGTGTTTTCATGTTATTTTATATTTTATGTAGGAAGAGGATACATCAAATTATCAAGAAGCTGAGACAGGTGACAATCAATATAGTGCCGCAGAGGAACTTCAGAAGGTGTTTTAAGTTA